ATATATTTTGGGGTTTTTAAACAACTGTTTGGCCTCTTGTGTCTATACAGAGCCAACAACAGAGGATCACATTTCTTTTTCTTGAATAATATTTTCTCTAGAGTTAAGTCCTTTTTCTTGGTTTTCTGTGGACTGATTTATTTTATACTTGAACTTTCTGAAAGGAGTATTTACAGTGTTGTCTTAGCCACTTTCCCACTGCTAGGACAAAATACCTGACCTGTACAACTTGAAGGAGGAGAGGTTTTTTCTGGCTCACCGTTTGAGTGTGCTCAGTCCGTGGTTGGCTGGCTCCAAGGCAGAAACAGCACATCAGAGTGGCATCGTGGAAGAAACCAGTTCACCACACAGTCTCCAGGAAACAGACAGGGAGAAGAGAGGAGCTGGGGAAAATACACCTTTCCAGGTCATTCCTTTAGTGACCCATTGCTTCTGACCAGGACGTGAGTGTTTTTGGTTCATTTTAGATATGAAACGTAACACTCCTTTTAATATTGTCTAGGTGTGAAATAGTAATTGTTCTCATTTAACTGTCATCCGTGACGCGGCGTGGGCTTGGGCCCGCCCTGCCTGTTGGTCCCCCACGGTGGAGGCCCTCCTCTCCCTGCTGCGCGTGCTCATTTCCTCCGCTCCACTCATCACTGTAGCCGTCCCGTGTTCAGGAGGATACAGCTGCTGATTCCTCCTCCTGTTTTTCAAAGTTCTCTTTTCAGTCCTCCCATAACAAGGCGTGATGCTTTTCACCCATTTGCTCAAGCCCAAGAGCTAAATGCCCTTACGTATCTTCTTTTTCTCTGCCTTCCGTGGCTATTCCCGGTGAAACCATGAGCAAGTCCTGTTGGCTCCAAATACATCTTGGCCCTTTTTCATCTCTCTCCGTTTTCACTTCACCACCGACGGGTTCCCTTCCAAGTGTTCCTCTCCGTACTGTTCCTCTCCTCCTGTGGTCCTGTCCTAGCCAGCACGTTCCTTAGAACCGTGAAGTACGATGCCATCTAAAACCTTCCAGTGTGTGCCGCTGTACTTAGAATGAAGCCTCGATTCTTCCGTGGTATATGACACCTCAAGCCCTGGTAGTTAATCCCGGCCAGGTGTTAGCTTCACCCCAGGAACTTCTGTTATTTTTTCCCTTTGGCGGTACTGGGGATTGAACCCGGGGCTGTTATCCCCAGCCCTTCTAAAAATTTTGTATCTTGAGACAGGGTCTGAGGAAATCGCCAAGGAGGTCTCCCTGCTTTAGCCTTCCAATGTGCTGGGATTATAGGCAGTGCCACAACCTGGCCACTGGTGGAACTTATGAGAAGCTCTAAGCCTGAGCGTATCTGGGGGGTGGCCCTGGCGCCAGCATTCTTAGCAGTTCCTTGGTGTGTCTGATGAGCGTCCGGGGTTCAGAACTATGCCTCCCTCTTGCACAGCCTTTGTGTCATCTCCCAGCTTCCTCTGTCACACTGAGCTCTGGCAAGTGCATTTTCTTCCTGTCTTTGAACTTCGAGCTTTCTCTTGCCTCACAGTTTTCCCACTGGATTTGTTTCTGTCTGGAAGTTTCTTTCCCCATACATTTTCGAGGCTGGTTCCTTTTCGCTTCTCAGAATGAGCTTTCTCTCCTCACCCAAAGGAATGTTCCAGGTTACCAGCCACTCTCCGCCCCACATGTTACTCTCCTTGAGTATTTCTTCCTCTTCGTATTGCCATTGTCTCATGGCATCTTCTGTGTGTATTTTGACATGGGAGTGTAATCTACCTGACACTGCTCAGTCTCAGTACACCGTGTGCCTAGAATAGTGCCTAATAAGTATTTGTTGAATGGCTGCATACAAAGGAGAAGAGCCAGATAAGGGCATTTGTTAGACAGAGCGTAGTGAAATCAGTGGATGGGAGAGCCCTGACTGACAGTGATTAAAAGAAACCAGATAAAGTAAGTAAATTTCACAAGGAAATTAGGAGCTCTGATATTTTCAAATGGGAGGAGAAAGATTTTTATTCTGGATTGGGGCAGTTCCTGGAAAACAGAAGTGACTTGTTGCCTTACGGGAGAGCAGCCTTAGTACAGAATAACTTCTGGTATTCACCACAGTGGCTGTAAATGTTTTTGAGCTGGGCCCGCTGGTGCATGCCTATAATCCCAGCCCTCTGGGAGGCTGAGACAGGAGGATCACAAGTTCAAGCCCAGATGGTTCAACTTGGCCCTTTGGCAAAACCCTGTCTCCCTCAAAAAACCCAAACCCCAAAACAATCAAAAACAAAAACAACTAACATTTTGTGCCTGGCGTTTCACCTAAGTGGAAGTGAGAACGGCCCTTTGGAATCACTACCCCAAACCATTCCCTTCATTTTAGCAATGTGATAATTTAAGCAAGCATCTGAGATTCCTCCAGCGGCTTCGTACCACCTGCTTCTTAGAGCTGCTGATTAATACTCTCTTTGCTACCTCTTTGCCTTGTGATGCTTTTTGAAGACTATTAGCATACCACGTTTAATTATGATTAAATACATGGGATTAATAGGAAAATTGTGTTCTTGCTTATATGTCACATCGTGTTGTAATGCAAAAATAGCAAGCACATTATGAGCCATTACCAGATCCCTTACAGTTGTGAGCCGCTGAATTTATGAAGTCCTGACAAAAGGATATGATGGAAACCAGATGCAGACAATATTCTTCTGTTACCTGATGCCAAGGAAAATGAGTGTCCATTTTTACAAATCCAGCATGATAATTTTGTGCTTTCTGGTAGCAGTTATATGTACACAATTCTAGAGAAACACTAGAAGTTAAAAGGAAAGTCTTTCAAAAATGACAGGTTTAGGAAGCACAATTCTGTGATGAATGGCTACGCAAAATGCTGTTTACAAAAGCACAGATATATTCTCTTCTGAAAGTGGATCAAAGCCTATATTGTGTCATCTTGGCTCCATAGGGCCTATAAAAAAGAGAACTGCTTGCAAAAGACTAAAGTGTTGTTTCTCAGCTCAGCCTTTGGCTCTGTCCCTGATTCAGGCTGAAGTAGAAGCCAGACATTCATGCAAAGACCATTTCTGTGTTGTAGCACCACCAGGCAAGGTCCTTGAGCCTGGGGGCAAAGTGTTCCACTTGTTGGTCTTCCTATACTTGATGTCTTACACACTGGCATTTGCACTGGTCAGATTTCTGTCGCAGGGACAAAGTAGCCAACAAACACAATTTAAAGGTTGCAGGATTTCCATTTCAATCCATCGGTGGCGGCTCTGAGACAGAAACACAATATCAAAAGGGCATGGAGGAGGAAAGCTGCTTAACTCAGGACAGCCAAGAAGCAGAGAGCAGGGAACGCACATGAAGAGGCGAACGGGGACCAGATACAGCCCTCAAGGCCATGCCCCCATGACATAGGTGGAAGTGTGCCTTACTAACCTCCTAGGTGTCTCTGCAGCTAGCCAAATTGACAGTCAAGATTAACCATCATCGCATGGGAAACTGGGGGCAGTGTTTCCTGCTCAAATATCTTTTTCTCCACCATGTGCCTCCATGTAGTCCACAGCTTCATAGCAAAGCACCCCACTGCTCCCTGCAAAAAAGCCAAGTCACTCGTAAATGTTTGAGAACCACCAACAACTTAACATTTGTGAAAATATTACTCAATCTGTATCTAAGGAAGGTAAATTCAGTCTACGCTATAAGCGTGTACAACATAATTTATGTAACTATTTTCTGGCTGGTTAATGTAGGATAGACTGCAAGAGAGTTTACTGGCAGATGTCCGAAGTCCTGATTCATTTAGCATTTAGTCACTGGTGGTATGTGGCTGGCTGACGTGTGTGCCTTTCACAAGATGGTTTCCGTAGGCAATATGACCACAGTGCCTCCTTAGTTGATGGGTATGGCGATAAGGAAAATTATTTCAGTAAAGCACCATACTGGGTGTTCAATATGTTTTTAATAGGAGGTATTTGTATATGGACACATTAAATTATATAGTACTTCCTCTACCAGATAGAGGGCAATAAAGATAAAGAGTAAGAAATTGTCTGTAGGTATATGTGTCTTTATTGGATTAAAAAAAAAATTAAAGTCTTTGCCTGAAGCCTCAACAAGCGATCTCATAAAATGTCTTTATTGGTTTTAAATCATTTAAATGCTTGTAGCATTATTAAAATTATTTCAGATGTTTTACTATGTGTTTGAATTTTTAAGTGTAAATATTTGTATAGATAAGTTTTGATACTCCAGTTTAAAACTGATATAGACTAGTGGCTTTTATCCTGGAAATGCAGAATGAGAGAGTGCAAATATAAATTATCTTAAAATACCTATTTTAATAGTATAAGACGGGGCCGGGGATTTAGCTCAGTAGTTCTGCTGCCTGCTTTGCAAGCACAAGGACCCGAGTTTGATCCCCGGTACCAAAAAAGAAAATAAAATAGTATAAGATGACCTGCAAAATACATGTACACAAAGTCCATGTTCATTTAGGCAAAGAAAAATCTATTGAATAACTACAGATATTAAAATGTTAATATCTTGGGTGTCTTCTGGCTTACTGTTTTTGTTCTTTCTCCAAAGGAACAGAAGTAACTCACTTGCTTCTAAGTAAATTTTATTTGTTTGTTTATTTTTGATAAGAATGAGACTTTAATCTATTAAAGGTGGTGTTTATAACACTAAGAGATAGAGGATCTAAGTGAATTTTATTTTATTTTATTTTCATTTTTTTGGTTCCAGGAATTGAACTCGGGATCTTGCACTTGCTTGCAAAGCAGGTGGTAGAACCTCTGAGCTAATAGAACCTCTGAGCTAAATCCCCAGCCCGTGAATTTAACTCCGATAGATGTTAAGACAATACAGTTCTAAAATAGACCTGAACTTTACTATGGAGCAAAAGAATTGTTTATATCCAAGCATATTATCTGCTTATTGTCTGTGGATTCCATCTTAATGTTGCTACCCGAACATGAGAACGTATATTGCTAATATATTATTTCAGACAACATAGAAGATTTTGTGTTCTCTTATGCCCCAACAGGTTGGTACAGAGGATATACCCTGCAGAATAAATCCAAAAAGGTACGGTTTACCATTAATTTTTTTGTTTCATTTGAATTCTTGTCTACTAGTTTTGAGAGGGGCAGTCTTATCCCCTTGTCTGTTCTTGCTGGACCTAGTCAGGGTTTATGTTTGTTAGTTTTTGATGGTGCTTCTTTTCCCTTGCTAACTAATTTTCTGACCTCAGTGCTTCAGAATAATCATGTAAATTCACTGACTCTGCTTCCCAGCCCATTCCAGAAGGTGGTCCTGGGCGGCTTCTCCTCCCTGTCTCTGAGCTGCTTGAGGTGGTTATGAAGTAGCAGTGCTTTAGTTGTGCACGCACTCTGCCCGCTTCCCTCTCTCCCGCCTTCCTCTCCCTTTATCTTTTGTTTACAGTGCTGAATCCTAGAACCAAAGGGTCTCCCTGTTACTAGGTGATTCTTTCCCTCATGTCAAGTAGGGAAACAGAGGAGGGGTAGTTTCCAAATGGCCTTATAACCTCAACACATCACGAAGTCAATACAGCAAATTCTGACTAACATTTGACCAAAACAGAAAACGATACTGAAAATTAGGGAAGAAAATGGAAAGCAGTGCAAAGCCTTATTTATAAAACTTTTATGTTCGATATACATTTTTATGTATTTCATGCACCTGTATTTCGAGTATTTGATTTGTAATACTGAGCTGTAGTAAAAGTGATTATTCACTGTGGGCAGAGTTTGAAAAATACTGACGTAGATGGTTCCTTTTCCCAGGGTCGGAGCTATTAAACATCAAGCTAAAGAGAATCCATTAGTGATGCTAATACCCACCTCGGTTTATTTTATTTCCATCAGCACTTTTCCTTTGAGTCTGCTTGCTGGGGCAACGTAACATGTCAGCACTTTCCTTTGAAAGAGCAGAGTTGAGAAGCGCTCATTATTTCACAGTTCGTTCACATGCCAGATAGAGGATTGAGAAAGGGGAGGAAGAAACATTTTTTAATTTATCAAGAAGGGAGAGGGAAAAAAACTCGTGCAGTTCTTTTTCTTCAGACACAGCATCAGCTAGGTTATCCCCTGCAGATGGGCTGATGTTGAAGGCCCCTCAAAGAGCACGGAGCCCCAAGAACACTTTTGTAGAAGGAGAGGCTGTGCAAAACCAGGACTGCATGTGACTGAAGTTGTTGATTCTTGGGTCACATCTGTATTTGCACATGCGTGTGTCTATACGCACCTTGTGTTTGCTTTGACAGTTCAGTAATCCAGAAAAACTGGGGCATCTTTACTGTTGACTCTTCTCTAAACCCTGATGACAAAGTTGTCTACCCACTGTTAGAGTCTTACCGTGTGTCACTTGCAAATGAATTATTTCCACTTAATCTCGTGCTGGCTTCAGTTTGTCTGAGCTTTCAGATAAAGTGGCAGGTTTGCCAAGGTGAGAAGAATGGTAGAGCTGAAGCGAAGACCTAGGGCCTGGCACGGCCACCCTGCCTGCTTTGGCTTTAGTCTGCTTGGTGTTAATTCAACTCACAGTTACGGAAGGGGTGGTTATTTCAGAGCAGACCAAGAGTTCATAGTTACGATATTCTGAGTTTGTTAGAGAGTAAGAAAACTCCGGTCACTAAATCCCTAATCCTATTTTATTAAGTGAATGTAACACACACACACAATTCTTAACTTTTTTTGTATGTGTATGTAGTACTGGGGATTGAGTAAGGCCCTTTGCTCTAAGCTACGTCCCCAACCCCTTAAATTTTGAGGACCTCACTAAGCTACTAAGTTGCCCAGGCTGGACTCAGACTTGGATCCGTCTGCTTCAGCCTCCCAGAGTGTTGGGATTACAAGTATGTGCCACTATACCTAGCTAGAATTCTTGGTTTTATACTGGTAAGTGTCACACATGTCAAAACAAGGTCCCAGACCCTGGGGTTTCCATTTCAGTATGTGAGGGTTTTCTCCAGCACAGAAGACCATGGTTCCCACGGTACTCCATGATTTCCTAATATATCCGAACCCGTCTCGCAGTGCCCTGCTACCTGCTGTGAACTGCAGGCAGACAGGATGCCCCTCTGGGGTCTAAATGAGTTCTTGATGTGCCTTTAATTTTTTGTATTCATTAAAGGATTCTTTAAAACTTGTTTAAACTGAAAAGTTCACCCTTGAGAAGAATCATTTCAGTAAGAACTTCTCTTTGTTCTTAGTAGCTGAAGAACAACTTTGTAATACGTTGATGTGTTGACTTTTTTTTAAGTTGAAATATGTATTTTCCTTGTGGAGGGATCCAAGAAAAAAATGGAATGGAATTCAAAACCAGTTGTCATGAGTTACACTCGGCTTGTGACACCCCTCCTTAAGAGACCCAGCCCATTAGAAATGCTATCCTCAGACCATGTCCCTTTTTCCCTGTCTTGGGGGAAGAGCTACTTGAAAGTCTGTTGTTTTAAGTGGAAATTTTTGATGTCATTTGCAAGCAGATCTATCCATTTTGAGTGATAATAAAAGGAGCTAGGGGCTTTACAAATGGAGAAGCCAAGAGCTTTGCAGAAACCGATCATTGATCCTGGCAGGATTGTGGGAGGGTGGCCTAGGGCAACTTCTAGGAAACCATTAGTTTATTTATTTATTTTTTATTCAAGTGAGTAGGTTGCACTGAGAATGAAAAGCAGGATTGAGAGAGGCTATCAATCAGCTCTATATGGCCCAAGTAGACTGTGGCTTTTTGTGTATTATAGCCGTTTGGGAAATGTCTACAGGCCTCAGATTAATACCAGAGCAATTGAATGATGGCACAGTGATGCCTACAAATGACAGGGCGATAAATGACAAAATGAATCCTCTGTCACCGTGAACATTATCACACCTGTACGCCAGTATAAATTAGCTGCTTATAATTGGCATAGGTGTCACAAAACCATCAGTTGATATTTCTAAACACTTGTCGTTTTGGTATCTCCCACTTATTAGGAGATACCAGTCACCAGATTATGGAAACATAATCAATTTCATTGTTTTTTTTCCACCTTCCCGCTTTGGCAAGTTTCTGCACAGATATTCCTTGGACTCGCAGTGTTCCTTTTTTTCTTCCCTCTGGTGTCAGGGATGAGACTCGGGGACTCATGCACACAACCCACATGCTCTACTCCAGAGTTACACCCTGGCCCCAGCCGCATTGAGTCTTACTCTAATCTTATAACTGCTAATTTAAGCAATTCATCTCCACCTAGAGCCTCCCTTTTTAAAGAGTTCTGGACTTTTTTTCTCAAATATGGTTTTAAAAAATTCATGAAATTCACCGTCTTAACCATGTTTAAGGGGCAGTGAGTACGTTTACACTGTTGGCACCGTCCCCACCATCCAGCTCCCGAACCTTTCCCTCTTCCCAAAAGGAAACTCAGGAGACATCAAACACTAGCCCCCTCATCCCTTCTCCCTCCAGCCACTGGCCACCCCAAAGTACTTTCTGTTCATGCAGCTGACTGTTCCAAGCCTCATTTAGGCTCTTCGATGACTGGCTTACTGCATTGGGCATCATTCTCTCAAAGTGAGCTCTGGACAGCCAAGCCTGGGTCTCCTTGCTGACAGTCAACACATCACTGGCCTCCGCTCTGCAGACAGAAGCAGCACACCTGTGTCCCTCTGCATCCTGGAAAGAGATGTGGAGCTTCAGGGCTCCAGAAGTCAGGCCCCAAATGAATTACACACACACACCCCTCCTCTGGGTTTTTATTCGAAACTTCGATGAGTTTCACAGAATCGCTCTGCATTTGGTACCTGTAACAAAAAACCTCAAGGTCACCTTGTCTGTCCATGTGTGAGTTCCTGGTCTTAGCAGTCATGGGATAGGCAGAGTGCTTTCTCACGCATACAGGACCACATGCCTCTCTCTTAAAGGGAGAAAGAGAAGCATATGATCTGTTGGGTCTTTTCTGCCTGGTTAAAAAAAGGATGAGCCTTTCTGCTTCTGCCTTGAGCAGGTATAGGATCCACTCTGTCATCAGCAGTGCTGATCCTAAGTGTTCTTGCTGTTTCCTGTTTTAGGGGCAGAGAATGCAAAGACACAATGGAGAGTGTTGTACAGACAAAACACGTGAAATTGGACATAGAGCAGCCCTGTCGATGGTCACAGGTTTCCCATCTCAGTGGGTTGAGGGTCGCAGGGTGCACACCAAACTTCAGCCTCAGTGCTCTGGGCAGTGGGACTTCTCCCCACACTTGTGGCCAGTCACCTGGACACGTGCTATCCCCACAGTTCACAGCAGCTCTTCTGGAAGTGAGACTAGGAGCAGCCGGGCCAAAGTGCACCTAAACAGGTTCTTCTGCCTCATCTGGTCTGGCATGTAAGCGACGCTAAAGTAGTGTCTTCTCTTGATAGCATCTGCTCTCTCTCTGTAAGAGCATATGACGCAGGGACACAGCAGGAGCTTTTGGCTTGTAAGAAAATGCCGGTGTGTGGCTATCTTCGCACTGCTGGACCTGATCCTCAGTTCTTTAGTCTATAACCAGGGTTATCATAATTTGATCAGGTTTTTCTGGGCCTTAGATTCCCCTGTGAGTGGTGTCACAATACCAACGTGAAATCGCTCCTTATGGAGATAGAAGGGAGAAGAATTTGAGACAGTGAAGGGCTGAAAATAATTAGGTAACAAATACCGTGGATTTGAGGTGTGTGTGGTTTAGGTGAATATGCTGAAAGGAAATTAACTTGAGAAAAGCCATTATAATCTTTATGGGCGACCGAGTTCTAGGTAGCTGTCCGGCTCCCTCCTTCTGCGAGGCCCTTTAATAATGGGAAGCCTCTTGTGAGCTTGGGTCTGGAAGGGTTCTAGGAGCTCACTGTTCAAGTCCTTACTGTTGCTGTAGCTCTGAGCTCATGGGGCGAGCCTGCCTGTTTATTTACGAAACACTGATCCTATGCTTTCTGAACCTAAACTTCTAGGTTTCCCACATGACTGCCAAGCCTGTGTTGAGGAGCAGTCGGTGTAACTGCTGTCCTGCCAGCCTGCTGCACGCATCCCTGTCATTAAGGTGTTGCCAGTCATGCTCGCTGCCATTTGTGGTCTTGACTTTGGGATGAGGTTTTCTATGGCCGTGTAACCAAAGTTCTTCTCTCTGTAGGGTATTTTCCCTGAAACGTACATCCATTTGAAAGAGGCTACTGTGGAAGACCGAGGGTAAGTTCCAGGCTGGGAAGACCCTAAATGGTGATGAAGGTGTAAGATTTTCACGATACAGTGCTGCACATTGACGTTTCTTTCTTCTCTCTGAGTTGCTACTCTTCTGTGAGCGAGGAATGAATAAAAACTTCTGCTTGGTATAATGCTTTCTTCTGTCTTCTCTTTGTATATTGTCCCTTTCTAGCATCCTTCTCCAGCAGAGTAAAGATGGCAGTGGTGAGCTGAGGGCCTCTGCCTCCCTCTTGTACAGCCTTCTGTGTGTGTGTGTGTGCGTGCACACGTTTGCACACAGAAGTATTCAGGGCTCTGATTCAGTCCTGAGAAGCCTGCAGTTTGGGGTCTTTGCAAAAGAGCACGGAGTAAAACCCCAGGTTACTTGTCAACTCTAAACTCTGGCCACGTCATTGAGCCTCACATTCACCCCGAGGTTTTCCCTGCATATTGGGGGCCATAGACACAGGATTGGAATCCCGTGGCTGATAGAGAGGAGAGTGGGCTTGGGAGGAAATGGACAGTTGGACAGTTTCGCAGCCCCAATCTAAGAGGTCATTCTTGGGCTTAAACTCAACACCCACATTTTAAGAGGAGAAGTGGAAACATGGTTCAGTTCATGCAACTCTTGGGTGGCAGAGCCAGGACAAGAGCCAGGCGTCTTGCCCTCCTCCAGCTGGCTGTTCCCTTGAGTGTTACGTACCATGCTGGGAAAAGGCAGAGCGAGGAGCCTATTCCATGTAACTGGGATCACAGGTGCAGTGCTGGGTGACCTGTTATCCAGATACCAAGTACAGAGGCTCCTTGGCTTATGAGGGGGCCATGTCCCAATAAACCCATTGTGAGTTTTAAATGTCATGAGTAAGAGAGCTGGGAATTTGGCTCAGTGGCACCACTCCTGCCTTGCAAGTGCAAGGTCCTGAGTTCGATCCCTGGTACCAAAAAAAAAAAAAAGTTTGGAGTCCCTGGATGATATGAAACTATAAATGTCACGAGTCAGAACTTGTTGTACCTAAAATTCACTCCTCTCTGGGCTCCTGTATCTGCCTGTGTTAGCCCAGCAGTCTACAGTCTTCCCATGTGTTCACTGCTCTCTCCTGCTGCTGCCAGCTGAGGAAATACCAGAGAGGACTTACGCGACTGAATGTAGTATTGCGTCTGCTCTAAACCAGGATTTTAGTACATGCACATTTTCTACCCTGTAAAACAGCAGATAACAAGAAAGCCCAGCCTGTTCCAGAAGAGCACCCTACCCCAGGGTGAGGTCCCAGGCCCCCGGACCCTGTCTGCCCACCTGCAGAACGAAGCAGCAGCATGGTGGAACCAACTCTAACACTGGGTCTTGTGTTTCCATCTCTGAGAATTGCTAAAAGCAGCCTGGTTTTGTCACTGAGGCTCCCAGAAAGAAACAGCATGGATAGGTAGAGCCAGGCTGCATCCCATAGAACTCTTAGCTGCTCAGATGTGTTTAGGTTCCCTCCCCACCCCCGTGGACAGATCTAGCTTTACCTTAAGCAAAGCAGCCCCATACCTGCCCCTGAGCCTCAGGGAAGTGATAATCAGAGTAGCTTGCAATGGCCCCTCTCACAGTAAACTGAGCCTCTGTTTGCTTCTCATCAGGCAGCATGAGACGGTGATTCCTGGTGAGCTCCCTCTGGTGCAGGAGCTCACATGCACTCTGCGAGAATGGGCTGTCATCTGGCGCAGGCTCTATGTGGTGAGTTTCTCCAGGCTTGTGGCTGGCAGTGGCATCATTTCTGGGCCCGTGGCCTGTGGTTCTGCTGCTGAGCCATCCTCAGTAGAGTGTCAGGCCCTCAGGAGCTCTCAGCATGGAATGGGAGGTGTCTTTTCCTGGACCAGAACGTGGTTGGCAACCAACTGCCTCTCATGTCCCCAGGGCTGGGTCAGTGATGCGGGACCACGGTGGGCAGTGAGTGCAGCCGCTGATTCAGTCTTTCCACAACTGAGAAGTGTACTGATTGTGGCAGTGGACACTTAACCTCTCCCTCCTGAGTGCCCAAAATGATGAGTCCTTAAGACACTTGTGTAAAGTAGGTGCACTTGGAATGAGAGTAAATAAAGTAGCACATCAGTCAGGAATGAGACTTTCCTCTTCCATATCCCTGTGCACCAATGAGTAGAAATTTGCACATTTCAGTCATCAGCCCCCGGAGGATGGCATTCTGAACCCATGGCCTTTGTACAGACTCAGAAACTCGAGTAGTGTTAAGCCCTGGTCAGGGCACACTTCCAAGTGCTCTTTCTTACAACACTGGTGTGACCTCAAAATGCCAGTGTGACACTCTGGCTCAGTGGGAAATTGCAGAGGACCTGGCACATCTTGTCTGCAGTAAACCACAGTCACAAGTTGTGTGTAGATTAGAAGTGGGAACTCCTACAGTGAGGGTATAGTTTGTCCCCTCTCGAGCTCATGCTGGAGTTCAGTCCCCATGGTGAGGTGTTTTTAAGAGCATAGAAAGGTTACCCAGCTCTAATGTTGAGAGGTGTGGACTCTGGGAGGGGATCCGCAGCTAGAATGCCATCCCCAGATGTGACCCCTCAACCTGGGACCAGAGCCAGAACCAGAACCCAGTGTATAGGATCATGTTATTAGCAGGGGAAAGAAAAGTGGACGAGGACCAGGGCCCTGTAAGGAAGCACGTCACACTTCGAGCCTGAGAACAGCTCCTCTGTAAGTGGCCAAGGACGCTCCACTCGTGCTGCCCCCAGGCCCGTTCTCTCGAGCTTCTGCGTGCTCCCTTCAGCGCTGGACCCCACAGACTATCTCCACGGTCTCTTCTTGCCTGCGGACCTCATAGGCGAGCGCCTTGGGCCCCACCTCTGCAGTTGGCCTCCATGGCTGACCAGGAGTCCGGTCTGAATGTGCACCCTCTTGTTAGACGTTTGAATGAGACCTGTGACTGCGCTAGGTTCGGTGGCTTGGGAGCCATTTGCTTTTGTTGTTTTGTTTTACGTAGGATTTTTATTTGGTCATCTGTTGATGGCTTGGTTTTAGTTTCTTTTCTTTGTTTCTTTAATCTTAATAAATTATTAGAAACACCCCATTCTAGACCCTGCCTAACTAGAAGCAGTAATCAAAAAAGTCAGAAGCTCCTTCTCGTGTTACTTCTAAGGGTGTGTGTAGGTATTTGATTTCTGTTTAGGGCTGTTTTATCCCTTGGCAAGTGATAGCTGTAGAAATGACTAAGGCCTTGGGTAGAAAATCCGATGGTGTTTCTCTGCCTGCCTGTCTTCCAGGTCTCGGTTAAGTCCTTTGTTCTTCATAATGTGCCTTCCAGACGCACTGGTCCACAGTGCTTTCTCGGCTGTGAGGCACTTACTGCAGGGTCCATCATAGGGCCCTCGGGGGGCACGCCTTATAAGGAAGGTGATCTTTGATCTCTTTATGTTCAGTGAGGAGGAAGCTGACTCAGTTCCTAAATCACAAGGTCCAGGAAGATGGAGGTGCTGCCGTCAACCCTGTGGCCTGTGTTGATCATCTTGCACTTACATTGAAAGCACTCTCCGCTTTGGCTAATTGATTATTTAGTGGGAGGTGTAGCACGGCTGATGGATGAGGAGCATGTGCATGGTGGGCTCAGTTCCCAGCATGCTCTTTCTGGGAATAGGTGAGTGAGGAAATGCCTCACATAAGCACAGGTGACACATCCCTGCCTGCTGTGTCCACTTCCTGTTACTATAAGGAAACACCGGAAGCTGGGTAATTTACAAAGAAAAGGCTTTATTTAGCTCAGAGTCCTGGAGGTTCAAGGGCGTGGTGGGAGCATCAGCTTGGTTCTGGTGATGGCCCCACCCCTGAGGTAGATAACATGACAGGGTGGGGACCTTGTGTGATCAGAGGAGCTCACACAGCAGGACAAGAAGCCAGAGTGTGGGACGGGGCCTTGCTCTCTTTATAACAACCCCAGTGAGGTAACTGGTACCAGTTCCTTCTGAGTGTGGTGCCCTCCATGACCCCACTAGACCCCAGTCCCTAAAGGCCCTGCCACTAGTGAATGTCCTCGGATTTGGGGCCCAGCTTCCAGCATACAAAGCTTTGAGGGACAAACTCACTCGATATCATGTCCCAGCCATTGCAACCCCTTATCTGAAAATCCAGCTTCCAAAATGCTCCAAAATCTGAAACTGAGTACCTATGTGACACCACAAGTGGAAAATTCCACACCTGACCTCATGTGTGGTTTCATTTCATGCACAGTATTATTAAATATATCATATTGGGCTGGGGATTTAGCTCAGTGGCACCGCGCCTGCCTCGCAAGCGCAAGGTCTGGAGTTTGATCCCTGGTACCACTAAATAAATAAAATATCGATTAAGTGACCTTCAGGCTGTATGTATATGAAACACTCATGAATTTTGTGTTTAGATTTGGGTCCCCATTCCCAAGACATCTCATTATAGATAAACATCATCCCCCAATGCAAAAAACACTTTGATCCTCGATATTTCAGATCAGGGATATTCAGCCTGAATTATGAAGGGAGGTTTTTTTAAAAATGTCACAAGTAAGAGTAGAGACTATGAATGAAGTAGGCTTTTTTCTTGCTAAACTACAGCCCTTTGTGTAAAGTTTCTTATTCACATCCTCTGCATGTCTGCAGTCAGTGTACATAGAACTGGGAAGTCAGTGAAGGGAAGGAGCAGTAGGGCCCGTGCATTAGGGTTTTTAAATCCCTTAATAGTTAAATAATTTGGGGATGTAGCTCAGCGGTTCCACCACCTGCCTCACAAGCAGGAGGTCCCAAGTTCAATCCCCAGTACCAAAAGAAAAGTTAAGTAATAGTGGTAAGCGCTTGTTAAGGCTTTCCACTGTGGGAATATCCTTATTTAGTACCAGAATTTAGTACCAGACTTGGGTGATAAATGGGAAATGGAAAGGAGGGGAGCAGGGAAGGAAGACAGACAAAAAGAGAGTTGACGGTTCCTCTCAGGCAGAATTCCTTGACTTCTTTCTTCAAAATTTGCTTGTAAAAGTAGCAAGCCCCAGTGTTTCAAGGGGAAACAGTAAAAGGAAACCAGGTTTCTAGTTTTCATGTCCCACCTCCTCCATCTGCTTTTTAGTGTTTTCTCTTCTGATTCTGTAAGTTCTTTTAGTCCATGTAAAGTTACGTACAGATCTTACTGGTAGACACTCATCCTTGAATCCTGTCTCTCATCTACTGCTTCCTAGATGATGAGGCAGGCATTCTGCTTGGTGTCTTTCACAACTCCCGTGATTCCTGAGAAACCACGTACTTCTCTGAAATGCAGTTCCTAGTTCTGCTCTTTTTTGGTCTAAATTCACTGGAAATTTATTTTATGGATGCGGGGTCTTTTAGCAGTCCGCTAACTAGATTAGGTTAGACACTGGCCATTATTCCAGAGACAGAAGATGTTTGCTGTGCTGGGATTTGTTTCTAGCAGGTGTACAGTGGCCGTGTGAAATAATTATAAATAAGGGAAGAGGAGTGACTGTGCCAAACAGAGGGGCGCCCTTTGTGCGAAGTAGCAAGAAGACATGACAGCCCCTCACATTCCCTTTTTTCCTTTGTGTTGTAGTGGTGTTTGTGTGTGTGTGTGTGTGTGCGTGTGTGTGTGTGTGTGTGCGCACGTGCAAGAGAGAGAGAGAGCGCACATTATGAATAACCAAGGTTATCAGTTTTGCCAGATTCATACATGTACAGAACATACTTTTATCACTTCTATCCCCGCCCCTCCTTGCCTCGGCCTCCTCCCTAGTTCTTCTTTGGGGGGCTTCAAACTATATGTTTTGTTCATTTCCATCCCCCCGTGAACTGTCCCTAGTCCCCCTCCCCTTATTTCCCTTCCTCTTGTCTTCCTCACTTTGTTATCTTTTTTAGATTACATGGATTAGGAAGAGCATGTTTGTCTAAGTCTGGCTTATTTTGCTCAACATGATTATGGGGGTATCGAACGCAGTGCTTTCTTGCTGAGCTGTTTTTAAAAATTTTATTTTGGGGACAGGATCTCACTAAATCACTAAACTGCCCCAGGCTGGACTCAAATGTTCAGTCCTCTTGCCTCAGCCTCCCTGAGCTGGAATTATACACATGTACCACCAAGCCCGAGATATGACTGTTTTCTGTTGAGCTATCTCTCCTAGTGGGTGTTGGCCTTATTCTCCAGAAATGGCACTGGCTACAGGGTCAGGCACTAGGCTAGAAGCGAGGAAGGTGGCTTTTGTCATGCAGACCCCACCCTCCCTAACTCTATGGCCTCACATAAGTGACCTGTGACGCCTGAGCCTCTGCTGGATTTTTGCCCCCTTTAGAGGAGATGCAGAGCTCCCTTGTGGACCCCACGGAGTTGTGAGCCTCTGCGAGGGCGTGGCAGCTTTGAAACCGCACTGCAGACTGACCGCCCAGGACTCTGCCAGTGGAGCCTGTTACCCTGGCCCTGGCGCAGCTGGCTCAGCTGGGAGCCGTCGCTGCTCTGGCCGCCTTCCACCTGGGCAGCCTTGACCCCCGGCTTCCCTCTCAGGATCCAGCTCGACTGCTGCCGCCAGGGACTCTCAGATCCCCTGTGCTCCAAGGCACTTCCTTGGTCTCCTGGAATGGTCTAGTGGAGTGGCCTGGAGTGCTCAGCAGCAGACTCAGTTTCCCACTGTAGCTGGGGGAGCCTCCTGGGCGTGGGTTCAGGTTTGAGAATGCAGAGAATGGCCTGGGAAGGCTGCCGGCCTGCTCTTTGCAGCTGGA